GGATTGTCACCGTGGAAGGGTGCGGTTTTAGAGAGACGGAGAGGTCTTGGTGTATCAGGGAGTTAGGCCAACCTCAGGAAGTTTGGTGGTTTCAGCTATTCAGGCAGAACGGCTGATAGGGAGAGGTTGTGAGGCGTATCTAGCAACGATCACTACTACAGAAAGAGGACCGGATGTAGACTTAGGCAGTATACCGGTGGTGCAGGAATTTGAGGATGTTTTTCAGGCGTTGGCAGGACTGCCACCAGCTCGTTCAGATCCATTCACGATTGAACTTGAGCCGGGGACAGCTCCATTGTCTAAAGCACCATACCGGATGGCGTCAGTGGAGATGGCTGAACTGAAGAAGCAGTTAATGGAGTTGTTGGACAAAGGCTTTATTAGACCTAGTAGTTCACCGTGGGGAGCACCAGTGTTGTTTGTGAAGAAGAAGGATGGGAGCTTCAGGCTTTGCATTGATTACCGCGGATTGAACCGTGTGACCGTGAAGAACAAGTATCCACTTCCCAGGATAGACGAGTTGTTGGACCAACTCAGGGGAGCTACCTGGTTCTCTATGATCGATTTGGCATCAGGGTACCATCAAATACCCATAAAGGAGACAGACGTGCGTAAGACTGCCTTTAGGACAAGGTATGGTCATTACGAGTTTGTGGTCATGCCATTTGGTTTGACGAATGCGCCAGCTGCATTCATGAAGTTGATGAATGGCGTATTCAGAGAGTACCTAGATGAGTTCGTGATTATTTTCATAGATGATATTCTAGTATACTCTAAGGATGAGGAAGAGCATAAGAGTCATTTGCGGACTGTTCTGGAGAAGTTGAGAGAACAGAAGTTATATGCCAAGCTCAGTAAGTGTAGCTTTTGGCAACGACATATAGGGTTCTTGGGTCACATTGTTTCGGATAAGGGAGTGTCCGTAGACCCAGAGAAGATTCAGGCTATTGCGGATTGGCCTAGACCAGAGAATGCTACAGAGATAAGGAGTTTTCTCGGACTAGCTGGTTACTACAGGCGGTTTGTCAAAGGTTTTGCAAGCATGGCTCAGCCAATGACAAAGCTGACTGGTAAAGACGTGGAGTATGTCTGGACGGATGAGTGTGAAGAGTGCTTCTCAAGGTTAAAGGAGTTACTCACTAGTGCACCAGTATTGGCGTTACCAGAACCGGGTGAGCCATACGTGGTATACACGGATGCATCCAGGAAAGGACTAGGTTGTGTTCTGATGCAGAATGGTAAGGTGATAGCTTATGCTTCGCGGCAGCTACGGAAGCATGAAGGAAACTACCCTACGCATGATTTAGAGATGGCGGCTGTGGTATTTACACTTAAGATATGGCGATCTTACTTGTATGGCGAGAAGGTGCAGATATACACGGACCATAAGAGTTTAAAGTACATCTTTACTCAACCGGATTTGAACTTGAGACAGCGTAGATGGATGGAGTTGGTAGCGGACTATGACTTGGAAATAGCATACCATCCAGGAAAGGCCAACTTGGTGGCGGATGCGTTGAGTAGGAGAAGGGCTAGCATATCATCTGAACAGAATGTAGGAAGCATTGTGAACATGCTAAGGACATTGCAGTTGAATGCAATAACGGATGGGGTTGAACCGTTGGGTTTGGAAGCTGCGGATAGAGCTGACTTGTTGACTAGAATTCGGATTGCTCAGGAGCAGGATGAGAATCTGAAAAAGGTGTCACAGAATGATAAGACAGAATATCAGACTTCAAACAATGGGACCATTGTTGTGAACGGACGGGTCTGTGTTCCAGATGTAAAGGAGCTAAGGGATGAAATCCTTAAGGAGGCACATCAGTCAAGGGTTTCTGTTCATCCGGGAATGACCAAGATGTATCAGGATGTGAAACGGTACTATCATTGGGTTGGGATAAAACGTGATGTGGCTAAGTGGGTAGCCGGATGTGAGACGTGCCAATTGGTTAAGGCAGAGCATCAGTTTCCAAGTGGTTTGTTGCAAACGTTGCCAATGCCAGAATGGAAATGGGACATGATCACCATGGACTTTGTACTGGGATTACCTAAGACTAGGAAGTTGCATGACGAGATATGGGTCATTGTGGATCGTTTGACCAAGTCTGCTCACTTCTTAGCAATGAAAAAGACTGATGGAGTACCAAAGTTGGTGGACAAGTATATTGATCAGATCGTGAAGTTGCATGGAGTGCCAGTGAGTATCATTTCAGATCGTGATCCGAAGTTTACTTCGAGGTTCTGGAAAGAGTTCCAGGAAGCGTGTGGAACGCGGTTGCATATGAGTACAGTTTATCATCCTCATACTGATGGGCAATCAGAACGGACGATCATGACATTGGAGGATATGTTGAGAGCGTGTGTACTGGACTGGGGTGGTAGTTGGGAAGACTACTTACCGTTGGCTGAATTTGCATACAACAATAGTTACCAAAGGAGCATAGAGATGTCTCCGTATGAGGCGTTGTATGGCAGGCCGTGCAGGACACCATTGTGTTGGACACAAGTGGGGGAGCGTAGTGTAATGGGGCCAGCAGTGGTCGAGGCTACTACAGAAAAGATCAGATTGTTAAAGATTAAGCTGAAAGAGGCTATGGACAGGCAGAAAAGTTATGCGGACAAGCATCGCAGGGATCTAGAGTGCAGTGTGGGTGATATGGTTTATCTTAAGGCACTGACTTATAAGGGAATAGAGAGGGCAGCTAAGAGTGCCAAGTTGAATCCAAGGTACATGGGGCCGTACTGGATACTGGAAAGAGTTGGCGCAGTGGCTTACAAGTTGGACTTGCCATCAGAAATGGGAGCGTTCCACAATGTATTCCATGTGTCGCAGCTGAGGAAGCACATTACCGAACGGGAAACGGTTATAGAGGAGCCGCCAGCAGACTTGCAAGAGGACCTTGCAGTAGTGGCTAGGCCGGTTTGAGTGTTAGATCGGAAAGAAGAGACTAAGCGTGGGAAGCTGGTCAGAATGGTTCAGGTCGTATGGGACTGCGACGGGCATGAACAGGTTACTTGGGAAAAGGAGGCTAGGATGAAAGCTGAGTATCCCAAATGGTTTGACAAGTTACAAACGGATGAGTCGGATTAGAGGACGAATCCAGAACGGGTGGGGGAGAGTTGTAGCATCCGTATCCGAGAAAATGTGGAATGATCGTACCGGAAGGGGCATTGTCCGAGGGATGACCGAGCAAAGGGTCGGATACTGGCTGGGAAATGGAGGTTCAGACTATGGTCAGGTGTTGACCGGTGAAATAGTCGGATGTGGGCTGGATAGCCGAGCCGGATGGACCATATCCGAGGGAAATCAGGGTCCAGTCCGAGGGAAATGGGATTTATCCGAGTGCAGTGGGATATATCCGAGAGTCTGGGAGGTTAGTCCGAGTGTTAGTGGACTGTCTCTGAGGGGGAATAGGAAACCTCCGAGAGAAATAGAGGATTAGCCGAGGTGGGACAAGTTGTCCGAGAGGAAAAGGAAAATCCGGATGGAAAATGGAAAACACCTCGGATAAGGGCGGTTTATCCGAGTGGGAAGGGATTTGGGCCGTGGGCCAAGTGTTTGTCGGCTATTTTGGGGTTTATCGAGGGAATGGTCGAGCCGGTACAAGGAATAGCTGAGAGAATCAAATCGGACCGGGATAAAACTTACTGGAACCGGGAAAACGTCGGATAAGTCCGGGTTACATAGGATTTTGCGAGTATTTAAGGGATTTTGAGACTTTTCTCGGGAGAGTTGTGTTTATTCGAGAGCAATAAAGCAAAGAAAGAGAATAGTCGAGAGAAAACCCTAAGGAAAACAGTTTATCCCGAGGACATCCGAGAGAGATCAGGTTATCGCCGAGCAAATCCGACCATCGCCGAGATAAACTGGTAAACGATCGGATATTTCCCTAAGTGTTGAGTTTTCATCGGATAACCTCGAGCTAATAGCCTTGTTTTGTGGGGTTTCTGAGGGAAAACAGAGTTTGGCTCGAAGAAAGGTGAACGGATCAAGAGATAGCCAAGGGGATAAGGATCGGATCGTACCGTGAGCCGAGAGATTCTTAGGAGATCGGATATCTTCGTTTTGGTGTGGTTTTCATTGGGATTTCTTCTGACCAATCTGTTTCTAGCCTTGTCTAAGGTGAGTGCGTGACTGTGGTTGTGTCTAGGACCGTAGGATTGCTAGGGTTGAATGTTTGCATGTTGATTGTATGATTTTCATGTTATGTGTTTAGAACTGATAAGCAAACCTTGTGTTGTGATATATTGTGGTGTTTACCGTGGCATATATGATGTTTAGCTAACCTCAGGGTAATCCAGATCATGTACTAGCTTAGGGGATGTGGGATTCTCGCTGAAGTAGACATGGGTCTTAAAAAGGGATTGATCTTGGTTGGTTAGGCTAGATGATCATGGCCGTTTGATATTGTTATGTCTATTGCGAATTGATTGTGTTGAATGTTGAATCCGAAAGTATGACTGCGTGTTTTGGTACTGACCAGGTGTTACGGGATGACCGTACTCACTAAGTATTTATGAAATACTTATGCCTCTCTTCTTGAGTGTGCAGGTACTAAGCAGTAAAAGGGGAGAGACCAGGCGGCAGTGATGAACATGGATGGATCGGGGATGTGTGTTTTATGATTTAAAACTTGTGTTAGGGTCTTATGGCTTTGGTGTTTGACCGTTTAGGTTGCTAGATGATTGGTTGTAATCGTTAGCGAACCTTGTGATTCGATTTATATGGAACCCCGAATCTGTTTAAGTGTTTTTGAGAGTTAAATGAATGAAATGACTTATTTATATTTCGCTGTGTAATGATAAGAAAGACTTAGAAAAATAAAGAGGAAAAAGTTCAAAATATGGCTAAGTATAGAAACAGACTTAGAAGATGTAGTGGGACACAGCCGCAGTACGGTTTACCGGGTTGGGTTACCACAGATCCTCTCTTTGACATGGAAAAAGCTTCAAGACCAGAAGAATGGCAAGCCAAAGTGTCAGTTATGCTCACAAAAGCAAAGCCTAACCAAATTTGGCCTCTCTTCACCGATTTCTTCAACTTCAACAAGTGGCTCCCAACACTCGCTACGTGTCACGACGTTCAGAGCATCAACGGTGAACCCGGCTGCCTACGATTCCGCTCCGGCTCCTCCATACGGTCAAACAGCATAGAATCCACCGCGGGATGGTCGAGGGAGAAGGTGGTGGCCGTTGATCACGCGGAGCATGTGTTGAGATACGAGATAGTGGAAAGTAACATTGGATTCGAGTCATATGCCTCTACGGTGATGTTACGATTTGATCCCTATCAAGTATGTAACAAGTTAACTTGTAGAACACAGGCAAAATTGGTAACCCAGTTCACAACCGAAGTTGCTACGTCTGGAGAGAGATATAGCTCTCAAGATTCACTATCAATATCGGAAAACACCTCCGATGTGGTTTTACAAGTGATTGTTCTCTCTTTGTTTGGTCTCTTTCTCCCTACGCTAATCCTAAGTCTCTTGTAACAGGAAACTTATTTAGCAATTCAATAAGGAAGAAAGACAAGAAGAACACTCACTCACACACAGCTACAGATTAACAAAAAAGGTATACGAAAGCTCTTCTCTGAATCCCTCTGATTCTCTGAACTCTCTCTGTTTTCTTTTTCACCCTACGACACGTCTTCTTCTTCGTATCTTATTTATAGGTGACGACCAAGTAGCATTTGGGCTTTGACACTTCTGGAATTCAGCCCACTTAGCTTCACAAACTTGGCCCAGCTAGAGCCCAAGTACTTTTGATGAACGACACAATTAACAATCTCCACCTTGTCTTCATCGAAACTTACTCTTCGCCATAGCTCTGAAGCTTTTAGCAAATCTGGGTCACCCATACTCTGAGCTTCGGCCACCATGCTCCATCTCTCTTCATCTCCTCCGATGAAATATATTATCTCTTCATCACCTCCAATGAAGATTTTCAGCTATTCTCAGGTAATCCGAAATCCTCTTAGAATTCTTTCAATTTTGTGATCTAGAAAAAATTCTTTTACCTTCGGATCCTGAAATCTCTGACTTTGATCATTTTTCTTTGCTCTCTAGCTAAAAAACGACCGTGCAGAATCATCAATATCTCATCATCACCACAAAGTAACCCTGATTTGATATTCCTCATAATCTGCGTCTGTTGATTTTTTTTTCCTTCCCTGAAAACCAAAAACAACTCGTTTCTGATTTTCTTTCTTCTTTGACTGCGAGATAACAAATCAACCCAACCATCTCTGCAGCCAACAACTAACAGCTCAGACTAGAACTTTAAGAGACACCAAGCCTCTTTCGAAAGTCTTACCAGGTACGCTCTTAGTTAAAACATCTGCTAAATTCACTGATGTGTGAATCTTTAGAACGGTAGCATCACCTTCTGCAATCAAATCTCTGCTAAAATTAAACCTTGTGTGAATATTTTTAGCCAAACATATTGCACTCTGTGAATCACAATGAATCTTAACAGCACCTTGTTCATAACCAAAATCTTCACAAATACCTTTTGACGACAAAGCTTCTTTAGTAGCTTCTGCTAAGGCCATATACTCTGCCTCCGTAGTGGAGAGGGCAACGATAGATTGAAGTCCTGATCTCCAGCTTACTGTATTATCTCCCACTTGAAACACATAACCTGTAATTGACCTCCTTCTATCTAAGTCTGTAGCATAATCCGCATCACAGAAACCTTTAACCTTAAACTCTGAATTCTAAGTGAAAGTTAAGATGCAATCAACGGTCCCTTGAATGTATCTCATAATCCACTTAACAGCATGCTAATGACTCCTTTCTGGATTTCCCATAAACCTGCTAACTAGTCCCACTGCATAAGCCAAATCTGGACGTGATCCCACCATAGCATACATAAGACTCCCAACAGCACTTGCATATGGAATTTCCGTCATAAATGTAGACTCTATCTCAGACTCTTTCTCATCTAGACTTTTAAGTCTAAAATGTGAGCCAATTGGTGCACTCACAGGTTTACTCTCTGACATGTTGAAAGTCATGAGTACGTTCTTCACCATTATCTTCGCTTTCTTCACTATCTGAGACAACCTGTGACTCTAGATCCACATCCTCTGATTCTGAAGATTTTGCCTCTGAAATAGCTCCACCTGAAACCGAAGACTCTGTTTCTGAAGTTTCTCCACCTGAAGCCGAAGACTCTGTTTCTGAAGTTTCTCCACCTGAAGCGGAAGACCTTGTATTTCTCATACTACTTGGTGTGGAGGCTTCTGATACATTATTCCTTGTTGGATCCTGGATCAAATTTGGATTTAAAGACACCCTCTTTCCCCTCCTTTTATCCTCAACCTGTTCTTTAACAGATTCTACCTTCACTCTTTCTGATGTAACTGACTTTGATGATGAATTCTTGAAGACCTCTTCCTCATGAAATACCACGTTTCTGCTCACAGTACATTTTCCTTTATAGGGTAACCAAACCCTGAAGCCCTTAGTACCTTGAGGGTATCCAACAAAATAACCCTTTACTGCTCTTGGACTTGTCTTTGCTTGCACCACATGAACATACGCTGCACAACCAAACCATCAGAGATGAGATAAACTTGGTTTAGATCATGACCATAACTCTTCTGGTACTTTGAATTCCATCGCAGAACTTGATGACCTGTTGATCAGATAAACCGCGGTTGAAGCTGCTTCTGCCTAGAAACCCTCTTCCATTCCACTCTCTGCCAACATACATCTTACTTTCTCCATAATGGTCCTATTCATTCTTTCTGAAACTCCATTTTGCTGTGGAGTATAAGTGCATGTTCTATGCCTTTTAATCCCAGCCTCCTTACACAGAGTATCAAACTGATTGTTGCAATATTCTAGACCACTATCTGTTCTCAAACATTTGATCTTTTTTTCTGTCTGATTCTCCACGTGAGATTTCCATTCTTTAAACTTCTGGAAAGCTTCATCTTTAGTTTTCAAGAAAAATATCCAGACCTTCCTGGAATAGTCATCTATAAACGTTATGAAGTACTGGTTTCCAGCCAAACTTGGTACAACAGAAGGTGCTCCCCACAGATCTGAATGGACATATTCAAGAACCTCTTTAGAGGTATGTATTCCCTTTTTAAAACTCTGCTTATGTGCTTTCCCTAACACACAGCTTTCACAGAATCCCAAAGTATGAATATCCTTATTAGCCAAGTATCCTTCCTTAACTAATACATCCATATTTTTCTGACACATGTGACCCAATCTTGAATGCCACTTCTTAGTTGAATCAATCGTAGACTTAGCTGAATTTGATTCTCCTTGTAGCACCGTTCCCTCTAGGTAATACAAACCATCACTGAAGACCCCTGTTACAACCTCTTTACCATCTTTGAAGAACTTAATTCTGTAATCTTCACCTTCATATCTGCAGCCTGCCTTTTCCAAACAGCCATATGAAATCAAGTTCCTTCCCATGGTAGGCATATATTTAACTTCTGTAAGTATCACGACCGACCCATCTGGTCGTTTTATCTTAATTTTTCCCATGACTTTGATTTCACTATACGAGTTATTCCCCATTGGAACTCTGCGGCCATTAAACTCTTGCAGATCAAACAACACCTCCTTGTTGGGTGAGATATGAAAGGTGCTTCCTGAATCCATGACCCATTCATTTTTAGTATCTTGCATACTAGCCGTAAGAATCATAGGTTTCTTTGACACTGAAGCCACATTTACAGAATTAGAACTCTTGTTCTTCCCTTTGTCTGGACATTCACGCTTCCAATGTCCTTCTTTGCCACAATTGAAGCATCCTTTGTTGTTCTTGTTGAACTTCTGCTTATACTTGCCTCTCGCTTTGCTCTTCGATCTGTACCTTGAGTTCTGATCAACCCTTTTCTCAGTCCTTCCCCTGTCTCCAGCATACAAACCTTCAGCTTCTGTCTTAGTCTTATTTAAAAGACCTTTTTCCCTTAGCTCAGTTTCCTTTGAATAAGCTGCGGTAATAACATCATTCACCGTCAAGGTATCCTTACCACTGCCATACTTAAGAGTATGTACTAGCGGCTCAAACTTTTGTGGAAGACCCGTGAGAATCTGAATTGCTTGATCCTCATCTGAGACATTGATATCCAAAATCTCCAGATCATCGACAAGCTTAAGAAAAACATCTAAGTTCTGCTCAATGCTTCTATTCTCATCCATTATGTAGCTAGCGAATCTTTGCTTAAGATAGATTCTATTAGGTAAGGTCTTTGTTTGGTAATCTCTTTCCAGAGCTTGCCAAATATCTAACGCTGTCTTCTCCTTCATGACTTTCCTCATAATTGAGTCACTAAGGCTCGTCTTGAGAAGACTCCTTACTCGCTTATCTTTCTTTTGTTCTAGCTTTGGATCTAACTTTAAATCTATCTTTGCAGGTGTGCCGTCTGCTTGCTTCTGTGGGTCACTAAGAAGTGATTGATCCACGTCAAGAATATAATCCAGATCCAAAAGCTCCAATGCACACAGTACCTTATGGTTCCAGATATTAAAATCTCCTTTCCCATCAAATTTATCAACATCAAAACGCCCTTGAGTTGCCTCCATGACTGATTGTATCGTTCCTGCTTTGATTTCAGGATACAGACTCAAAACCAAGTTGCAGATTCAGCCAAAGAACTCTTTAATAATCACGAAATCTACAACACCCAACTTCTGCAGATCTTCAACACACCCAGACGAACTAACCAGATAAGTTTCGAAACTTAATCTGATCTTTCTTAGTTTGCAAGAACTGCTTTTGGTGTTGCTCTTGATTCTCCAATCTTCCTTTGTCTCAATGATTGAGAAATCCCTTCTAGAGCATGCGGAAAACGAGCGACCTAGGCTCTGATACCACTTGTTACGATTTGATCCCTATCAAGTATGTAACGAGTTAACTTCTAGAACACGGCAAAATTAGTAACCCAGTTCACAACCAAAGTTGCTACGTCTAGAGAGAGACAGAGCTCTCAAGATTCACTATCAATATCAGAAAACACCTCCGATGTGGTTTTACAAGTGATTGTTCTCTCTTTGTTTGGTCTCTTTCTCCCTACGCTAATCCTAAGTCTCTTGTAACAGAAAACTTATTTAGCGATTCAATAAGGAAGAAAGACAAGAAGAACACTCACTCACACACAGCTACAGATTAACGAAGAAGGTAAACGAAAGCTCTTCTCTGAATCCCTCTGATTTTCTGAACTGTCTCTGTTTTCTTTTTAACCCTACGACACGTCTTCTTCTTCGTATCTTATTTATAGGTGACGACCAAGTAGCATTTGGGCTTTGACATTTCTAGAATTCAGCGCACTTAGCTTCACAAACTTGGCCCAGCTAGAGCCCAAGTATTTTTGATGAACGACACAATTAACAGGTGAGGATATTGCCATGTGGGGAGGATGGGGAAATTGAAGGTTGTGTGATTGAGTGGGATTTTACCGTTGATCCCGTTGGAGGATTGTCTCTAGATGATCTGGTGATGAAGTATGAGAAAGCACTTAGAATAATCGCGAAGAACATGGAAGAGGCTTTGACAAGAACATAGTCTTCTTTAAAAAGTTGCTGAAAACTAACTACAGCTAAATAATCCGGATGTTATGTTTTGCAGGAGTCCATAAAAAGAACTGAAATTCTGAATAAAAGAATATGCCTTAATTATGTTACGGCTAAACTAAAGCCTACTCTCATACCAAAAAACTAACTAACCCCAAAACATCAATAAGAACTTCATTAGCCCAATCTAGAGGGTTTGTGGCTATATAAGATTGACGACTGTTTTATGACAATTTGTGCAATGGCCTCTATTTGATGTCGTTTCTTCCTACATCATTTTCTAAGTCTGGAACGGTTTCCCTGTTCCAATATGTCAATCTTGGTTAGTCCGGGGCATCCGACCCAGATCCGACAAACCCGACCTAAAAAAGCAGTTCGGTTCTGTTTTGATTCTTATTAAATAATCGATTAATTCTTCATTAATTTTAGTTCAGATTTCGATTCAGTTCTAATAAAACCCAATATCCAAACCACAAAAACTGATTTATTTTAACCTAAACTAAAATCAATTTAATTAAAAATACTTAAATATTCTCCTTCACTAACGGTGTATGCTTTCTCCATCTTCTCCACCTCTTTCTTTTCCTTTTTGATTCTTCATCTTTTCCACTTCCTTCCTGTCTTTCTTGATTCTTCTCCTCCTACGTCAAAAAGAAAACTCTACAAGAAAGAATTGCTGATTCTGCTTTATTTTTTTGATCTTCCTCGAACATCGATTTTTCCATCACTCATTTTCTTTCACCAAAACTAAAACTTTTAATCACCCTCACAAGTCACAAGTCACAAGTCCTCCTATTGTTGACACATTAACTACCACAGAAGAAGAGACAGAAATCACTCAAATAGTAAAGAATGAGAACCAAATTCATTCATTCAGACCTAAATTTTCATATCCAGGAATAACTATATTTGTTTTTTTTTCAAAAAAACTATATTTGATATAATAAAGAAATTAACCAGTATTTAAATGGGCCTATTTTATTATTTGGGTTTCGATTTAGAAATGGCGTAAATTATTTTTTATTTTTTTCCGGTCAATCGGTTCATTCGTGTTTATTCGGGTTTGAATATATAATTTTCGGGTCTATTTTGGATTTCTCTAAATTTCTAAAACCCGACCCAAAGCAGATCCAAACCAAACCAAACTGATTTTTAACCGGGTTCTAAATGGGTCCTAAACACCCCTACCCAAATTATCCGAAACCAAAAAAACCCGATCCGATCCGACCCGAAAACCCGAACGCCCAAGATTAGATCATCATTTTCTTGTCTTGTTAAAAGATTTTTGTATTTTTGAGTTTGATTAGACTTTCACAAAATAATTTTTTTCTCGTCCTCCAATGAGGGTTTGAAGTCATCATCTTGAATTCAGTATTAAGTTATTGGTTGGACTTTAGAAGTTGTAGAGAGCTATTTTTATTCTTTACAGTACAACAAATGATCAATCATAATAGTTTAAACAAACTAATCATACAGCCCAAACAAAAAAAAGCTGTTTTTTTCAGGTTGCCAGCTAAATTTTCTTCAGCCCATTATTTGTTTTGTTGTAGATGGTTATATTTTATGCAGTTTCTCTCTTCTTTTCATTTCTTTGTTCTATTCTAATTTCATTAGAAATCTATCCGAATTTTATACTTTTATATTATATACCAGGAAAAATTCATGGATTTGTATTATTTTTTGTTAAAAAACATGTTTTGATACTCTTAATTTAATTATTAATTATTAATTATAATTTTCTTGATGTAATCTATTCCAAAATCAAATTACGAATATTTTTTGTAATTTAATCTTTAGTAATCTCTTCATTCATATAAATTTCAATGTGATCATAATTTATAATTTTCTAAATTTCCTATTTTAAGTTATTTTTATATAAACTTTATTTTTATTGATTTCATGTCCATTTTACATGTTTTGAAATTTTGTAAATTTATTAGTATCCATTTTTATTTTTCAGTTTTATTTTATTTTATTTTTCCTCTAATATTTGTGATATAATTGGTTATCTATTTGATAGTTCATTCAATATAATTTTGTATTTTATGGTTTTATATATCAATTTGTTGGCCCGAATTTGCAGCTTACGTTCTAGCCCAGATGGGGTAGTGTATTCTATTTTCTCCACCACAAAAACCCTAAAGGGATCTATTTAAATACTTCTCTTCTTTCTCTTTGAGAGCGAACTTGCCTCCACACATAAGATCCACACAAAGAAAGTTCTTTATATTCTCAACCTCACTTTTTCTCTTGATTCCATTTATATTTTTTCACTCATTCATTTACCCGTTTCCAGATTCCTCTCTCAATCTTGTGGCCATTCTGACTTGGGCATAGGAGCATTATCGGGGGCCAAATTAATCTCGACTAAGTTAGATTTCACTTTTATGGCCGTTCTAACTTGGCCGTTCATACTAATCTCGACCAATCACGCTTTTTATATGCTTTGTACGAATAAAATTATGATAGGTATTAATAAATATTAATTAAAAAATTTCAAAATAATTTACATACTTAAAATATTCAAGTTTTTCAAAAATATTTTATATATTTTGATTTAAAATGAATTTTATAATTTTTAATTTTTAATTGTCTATCCGTAAATACTGATGATGAAGAGCTTGTAGTTTTAAAGGAACTCGAAGAAGACGAAAAAGTTTTATAAAACTGTTGTCAAATGCCAACAAGCATGACCATCCGCAAAAACTGCGTTTGCAGATTTTAGCGGGTGAACCAGTCAACATCTTAATATAGGCTGATGAGGACCTCAACCCGGTCAAGCTTAAAATACCGATCATGTATGAGCCACCAAAGACTAGATCTGGCACGAGGACAATAAGAGAAGAATTCAACAAGGCCGTGGAGAACCTCCTCAACCTTAAGCAAACAGAAGATATCAACATTCTCCTCAAACGGATTGTTTTAAAAAAAGAATGCATTGCAGGAGGTGACGAAGACATGACGGGACAAGACGACATCATTATGTACCACCTCCGTACTGCGGTCGACAGCATTACATACCAGCAACGTACCAAGGAAGAGAGCATTACAATATGAATGACCGATGGGCATAACGATCAAACTGACCAGCACTTAGAAGATATTCAAGACACTCAAAGCCCAGCCAACCTCAAGATGGAACTCAACTTAGATGAGTGGCCCCTTCTCAAAGTCTACCTCGGCCCAAATCTGCTAATCATCACCCCACTTCAAAATGACCAAGTTTAAAGGAAAACATGCTGGACATTACTTACCTTATCCAGCTAGAAACTAATCAAGAGGCAACGATAAGGTTTTGTCATTTATTTTCATAATATCTCGTGTTTTCCGTTTTGTTTTTCTGGACTTTATTCTTGGTTTCTTTCTAGGACTTTAGAATGAACCTTTTAATCTTTCTTTGTTATTTCTTTTGTATTTTTGGTTTTTGCATTTATTTCTTTTAGACCCTAGAAGGTCAAGGTCGATGAACCCCACCGAGACTAAGGAGCTAGAGAAGCAAATTCAAGATTTGGTGTCCAAGGGCTACATAAGGGAGAGCCTAAGCCCTTGTGCGTTTCCCGTCTTGTTGGTGCCTAAGAAGGATGGTACATGGCGAATGTGCGTGGACTGCCGGGCCATCAACAACATTACCATCAAGTACCGCCACCCCATTCCTCGTTTAGACGACATGTTAGGCGAGCTCAGTGGAGCTACCATCTTCTCAAGGGTGGATTTGAAGAGCGGATATCACCAAGTACGCATGAAGGAGGGTGACGAATGGAAGACTGCTTTCAAGACCAAACATGGTCTATATGAGTGGCTAGTAATGCCATTCAGTCTTACTAATGCCCCGGGTACATTCACGAGGCTCATGAATCACGTTTTAAGGACGTACATCAGTAAGTTCGTTTTGGTTTATTTTGATGACATTTTAATATATAGTTAATGTCTTGCGGATCACTTAAAGCACATTGAGCAAGTATTAGAAACACTTCATCAAGAAGGACTCTTTGCAAACCTCAAGAAGTTCACCTTTTGCACTAATGAATTAATGTTTCTAGGTTTTGTTGTAAGCTCGCAAGGACTGAGTGTGGACCAAGAGAAGATACGAGCTATACAAGACTCCCCCACGCCATCTTCCATAGGACATGTCCAGAGCTTTCATGGCTTAGCCAGCTTCTATAGGCGGTTAGTAAAAGATTTGAGCACCATTGCAGCCCTTCTTACAGCCGTGATCAAGAAGGATGTAACCTTTAAGTGGGGGCCAATGCAAGAAGAAGCCTTTGCCAAACTGAAACACAGCCTTACTAACGCCCCGGTACTAGTGCTTTCTGATTTTGATAAAATGTTTAAGGTTGATTGTGATGCTTCAGGATTAGGCATTGGAGCTGTTCTCACACAAGGAGGCAAGCCAGTCGCATACTTCAGTGAGAAGCTGATTGGAGCCACCCTTAACTACCCCACATATGATAAAGAGCTATATGCTTCAGTGAGATCATTGGAGACATGGCAGCATTACTTGCTTTCCAAGAATTTTGTCATACACTTGGATCATGAAACGCTCAAGCATCTTAAACGCCAGTCTACATTGAAGAAGAGACACGCGAGGTGGCTAGAGTTTGTGGAGACGTTCCCCTACATCATCAAATATAAAAAGGGGAAAGAGAACATTGTAGCGGATTCCCTCTCTAGACGTTACACTCTCATTACCACCATGGAGGCACGAGTGATGGGATTCAAACACATCAAAGAACACTATAAAGAGGACTCGGACTTTTAGATAACCTTTCAAGAATGCAACAAAGCCCCATCAGGTCCATTCTATATACACAATAGTTTTCTTTTTTGAGATAAACGTTTGTGTATACCGCAGGGATCCATGAGAGAGCTGCTGATCAGAGAATCACATGGAGGAGGGCTTATGGGACATTTTGAGGTAGATAAGACTCTAAGCGTGGTGGTGGAGCACTTCTTTTGGCCACATCTGAAGAGAGACATTGAACATTTCTG